AATTGTCCATACATAATCATATATAAATATATGTGTACAATTATATAAAAAATTATATAAAAATATATTAAATAATAAAATGATACATAATTTATATATAATGAATATACGTACATGTGTACCCGCACACGCACACACGCACACACGCACACACGCAAACACACACACACGCGCGCGCGCGCGCGCGCGCGCGCACACACGCACACGCACGCACGCACAGGATGTCCCGAAATTTTTTGCTAAGCGCTACTTTTAGATAGAGCGGACTAAACTTATATAAATAGAGCGGAGTCAAAAAGTCCTCTACCGTTTTACAATTTTTCGCAATGGTTAACAAGATATTATTGGGAGTACAAATAAGTTTCTGCCGTTTGCAAAAGACGGCGCCACTAATAAACTATAGTTAAAATTGTTTGATGTAAAACGACATATCGTAAGATTGGACATCCGGCAACACCATAATCTTGAAATATTAGTGATTATCAGCATATATTTTTATATATATTTATCATATATTTTTTTTGTACGAAAATGTCGAGTTTTAAGCCGAATAAGCGTCATTTGTGGAAATTTTTGATTTACTTCTTTAATTTGAAGAAATCTGCAGCTGAGGCTCATAGATTGCTTGTAGAAGCATATGGTGATGCTGCCTTAAGTGAGAGAAGTTGTCGTGAGTAGTTTCAAAAGTTTAAGAATAGTGAATTTGACATCGAAGACAAAGAACGTAGCGGAAGGCCGAAAGTGTACGAAGACGCGGAATTGGAAGCATTATTGAATGAAGATTCGTGTCAAATGCAAAAAGAACTTGCACTTACATTAGGAGTGATTCAACAAACAATTTCATATCGTTTGAAATCATTGGGAATGATTCAAAAGCAAAGGAATTGGGTTCCATATGAATTGAAGCCGAGAAACGCCGATCTTTCACATATGAAATGCTGCTTGCCAGGCATAAACGAAGGGGTTTTTTGCATCATATAGTCACTGGTGATGAAAAATGGATCCACTACGATAACCCAAAGAAGAGGAAATCATGGAGATTATGCTTCAACATCGACAGTCAAGCCGAATATTCATGGAAAAAAACTCATGTTGTGTATTTGGTGGGATCAGCTTGGTGTCGTGTATTATGAGTTGCTCAAACCGAACGAGACCATTATTAGGATACTCTCTACCGAATACAATTGATGAGATTGAGCCGAGCACTCAAGGAAAAACACGCCCACTACTACTCCAGGCATTACAAAATTATTCTCCTGCATGATAATATTCGACCACACGTTGCAGCGCCAGTCAAAACCTACTTAGAAACACTTAAATGGGAAGTTCTACCCCATCCGCCGTATTCTCCAGACATTGCTCCTTCTGACTACCACTTGTTCCGATCGATGACGCATGACCTGTTTGAGCAGCACTTCACATATGAAGATACCAAAAATTGTATCTTCATATGATGTGAAGTGCTGCTCAAAGCACTTGATTGGATAGCCTCAAAAGATGAAGCGTTCTTCCGACGCAGTATCCACATGCTCCCAGAAAGATGGGAAAAAGTAGTAGCTAGCGATGGCCATTACTTTGAATAAAACATTATGTACCGTTCTTTCACAACACATGCTTAATTTTTGATTAAAAAACTTATTTGTACTCCCAATAATTACTAAAAATTGTCGAATATTGGTCTTCAATAATTTTTTTATTCAAATACCATCCAAAATTGTCGAATATTGGTCTTCAATAATTTTTTATTCAAATACCATATTTCATTAATCATTACGAAAATTACAAAATGGTAAAGAACTTTTTGATTCAGTTTAATTAATCTGCTCTATCTACTATAAAAGTGTTTGGCAAAAAATTGCAGGACACCCTGTATATAGGATGTTTAAAACGGTTAATATTTGTCCTGGATTTTCAAGGATGGAGGTTATACTTCTTTTTTCATTCATGTAAAAATGAATTTTTTGTGCAAAAATGAAAATAAGACACCAATTGTTAGAACACTAGTATTATTAGATTCTGGCAATAAAAATAGGATAAAGAAAATAGGATCTCATTAAAAAAAAAAATCAAATTAATCTTGACTTGACCTGGCGACGTCATCCAAGGTCAAACTAATAAGATCTGTAAATAGATCTTTTTATACTTTACAACTTTTGTCTGAAACATTTTTTTCAAAGACGTCATCCTCCCGAGTAAATCCGGGATCCCGACTTTTTTTTTAACAGTCTGTATATATTACATAATATTAATAACTTAGAATAATTAATTTTACGCTTAGATATTAACTTTACATGATCAGTTGGGAAATATGCAAAGGGCTTTTGAAATCTTTTATTACATTGTTTGCTCTATCATATTCATCGTTAAACTTTCAAATGAATTTTTGAATCATGACAAGGTATGTATGCGGAAAACATTACTGACATCTTTAATAAGCTTATTAATCATTACGCTTTTTAATCATTTTAATGAAATTCTTTATTTATGCTCAGATACGATATTTATACAAAGCTATGGAAAATCATTGGAATATATTTACGGGTGAATTTGAAATGCGTATTCTTAAGAATTATTCTATTCTATCACGAAAATTTACATTAATTTATGCAAGTGAGTGTCTACATATAAGATATATAAATAAATTAATACTATATGTTAAAAAATATAGATCTAATAAATAACTCCATAAAAGATTTCTTTTGTCAACAGAATCAACATTATAGAATTTTTGCAAAGAAAATATTAATTTTAATCTTTTTAACATATTTACATATTTATAAATTTTAAGTAATACATGC